CTTCTTAACACACACATATGCAAATGATGGTTGTTACACAGTTGGATAAAGAGGGAAAATTTAAATTTTAAATGTGTGTCACAACTTAACTTTGTAAAAACAAAAAAATATGAGAAAGGAAACAAAAATAAATACTTTGTTAGTACTGATTTTCTGGGTGAATTTTGCATAGTCACTTTTGGACGTATTGATCCGCTGAATTCCTAATTTGCATCTCTGCCACAGGAACATTATCATGTCCACAACGATTTCTTTATCAGGCTGAACATTCTGAAAACAAAAGTGACACAGCAAATGAATAAGAATATAAAAGAGAGAGAGACACCTTCATATATCTATATTTTAATTTTATTTTTATATAGATAGAGACATAAAACATTTACTGTGTGCCAGATACTAATTCATTTAATCCTTATAACTATGCAAGGTGAGTATTATTGTCATAGGAAACTGAAGCAAAAGGAGATTAAGTTGTTTTCCAAGACGAAAGGCCTAGAAAGTAGCAGAGGCAGGATTCAGACCAAGCAGTCTAGTTCCTGAGTCCTCTCTTTTCACCACTCTACACTGCTTCTGCCTCTCTAAAATGAAAACCCTAAACATTTTTAGATAGTATGTAAACCTACTAGCTCCATCAAAATTTAACTGTCTTTTTTTTAATATTATTTTTAAATTTCTGCATTAAGATAATAAAGAATAGAGAAAAGGTGAGGAGGAAACATGGATGGGGGGAGCTAGGACAGGGTATACCATATTTTCACACAAATAACCCATCTCCTACATTTGTTTGCCAATCTATCTATCTATCTATCTATCTATCTATCTATCTATCTATCTATAGGCACAGTGGTGCTTAAGAAAACACATGGAGGGGGGAGTAATTTGCAAACAAGCACAGAAGATACATGGTGTTTGGGTAAAAATACGGTACGTAAGAGGAATGGGAGACAAGGAAAAACTAAACAGAACCTGTCATTAGGCATCAACAGATGACCTAGAATAAGTGTATTTCCTCTAAAATCAAAGTTACCCAGCT